GGGAGCCACTGCACCGGCGGCCGGAGGATTCTTTTAGCGGGGGCCAGTGACAGGCCCCCTGACGGCCGCGGGCAGCGGCCATTTTTAAAGGCAGCAGAGAGGCCCGGGGGGCAATTGCCACCCTGCCCCCTGGCCCAGTCCGCCCCTGTCTCAAGCGATATTCTCCTCGTAGTGGATTCCTGGATCATATTCTGTACCATACTGCCACCCATTTATCCCACCTAACTGACTGGTGTTGTCACCAACTCACTGAACAGGATAGCACACTCTTCCCTCTTACACTGCTAACTCTTTGCTCAAACATCACCCTCTGGTCAGCCCCACTTTGAAGTCATTTGCTGCCATAGCTTTCCCTTCACCCATGTCAGCAAACTTAGGTCACCCCAACTTCACACCCAGTTATGGGGACAACGCATTCAAAACCTGGATATGTTGCAATAAATTCCATGCGAAACACATTGGGGGACATTTATCAATTCTGTCGTATGGCAAACCAGTGCTATACAAGGGCAGTGAGACAATTTAGGAGACAAATGTATTTCAAGTTTCCCACAAGGACAGCACTCCATGCATATTCACTGAATAAAAAATATTTTATGCAAAATATTATAGACACATTAACATTCCTCTAGCATAGACCACCTGCCCCTACCGCATTTCACCAACTTGGGCTTAATCAAGCAAAACCTATGAGTGAAATGCGTTAGTGACTGGTGGTCTATGCTGAAGGTCTCACAATGTGTCCAATATCTTTTGAATAAAAGATTTTCTATTCAGTGAAGATTTGTGGAGTGCTGACCTTGTGGGAAACTTGGAATTTGGAGTGGAGAGGTGCTCAGTACCTGCGGCTGTAACGCTCTCACGGTGGGGAGTCAGTGTGAGAGTAAGAGCTTGCTATAGATGTATTTCAGTGTTACAGCTAGAGTCATAGATTCCTTCCTCAGCTGCTCCAATTATTCTACTGCAATAACATAAAACCTGACCCTAAACACGTCTTAAATATGCTTCTGTTTGAGTGAAATCCGTCACATCTTCAGTAATAAATCTGTTTTAAGGGCTTGTTGACACCTAATCCAGTGCGTTCCAGCAGAGTTAGTGACCCGGAACGCACTGGATCGCATAATGAAAGTCTCCTGCAATTGCACCGGACCGCGGGCATTGCTGTGCCACGCGTGCCGGGAGGCATGGCTGTGGTGCCATTGACTTGAGTGCACCACCACCCCCCCTCCCGCCCCCAGAACACAGGGAGGCTTGCTCTATGCAATCCAGAGCATTGCAGCCACCAACCGTGCTGGAACGCACTGGATTTGGTGTGAACAAGCCCTAAAACCTTGCCAACTGCCACACTTTGCTGCCCAGGAATACAGACGTACAGTTCGGTAAACCTGTTGCAGAGACATTTCTGAAGGACTATTTATATTGCTCATTTTCTTAACTGTCCCCCTAAACACGATCCTGGCTTGCTCTTAGACAGCTCTCTTCAGCCTCACCCCACCCCCCTGCCCCCCCCGCTTAAGCCAGGGCACGGTGCAAGGATTTTTGTGCCCCTCCGCCCCCCATGGCTGCCTATGCACCGCACTTGTAGTTCATTAGCTTTTGTATGTCCATGGAGGAGAGTAGGGATGCACCAATACCATTTTTTCTAGGCTGAGTACTAGTACCAATACTTTTCCTTGAGTACTCGCCGATACCAATTCCTGACACTTTCTTTTTTAGTGTCATGTGACAGTTTTTCTAAGACAATACAGACTAATGATTTTAGGACAGCGGTGGAGCGACCGGAGCCTAGTCACAGATGAAACCTCTGTGCCCCTGGTAGTTCTACCCCTGAAGAATAATACCATCCGCTATAGAGGACTACAAATCCCAGTAATACATTATACAGCAATGAAGAATAATATATGAATTTGCTACATACTCTGTGCTACTGTTCTGCTCCAGGGTGCTGGCCTGATGTCTTGGGTGGTGAGTCGCTGCAGGGGTAGATGTGGCAGATCAGTACAGAGTATAGAGCAGAATTCAGGGCTTGTTCACACCACTTCCAGTGCGTTCTAGCACGATTAGTTGCTGCAACGCACTGGATTGCATCCTGGTCGGCTCCCTGTGTTCTGGGGCGTGGCGGTGCATTTAAGCCAATGGCACCGCAGCCACACACCCCCTCCCGCAGTGCAATCGCCTGGACCAGAAGATGATGATGCGTGGCACATCAATGCATGCATTCTGGTCCAGTGCGATGGCATAAAATAGTGCATGCAGTGCAGGGTTATGATAGGATTTGCCCAGAGTTCTGCTTTAATTTTTTGAATATGCCTTTCCAATCACCATGGAATGTGCACATGTTGATTGTCCAAGTACAGGAAGGGAGTTGTGAAAGTTATGAGGTTCTCTTGTAGTTACACATCCCCATCCTTGGTGTCTCTGACTTCAGTGCTTTTCTGGGGTCACCCTGTTCCAGAACAATCTAAGCCTATACTGTTCCCGAGTCTGGGTCTAGGCTCCAACATGCTCAGTAGCAGCCTGCATTGTCCCCTGCGTACACAGACTCCTGTTCAAATCACCTCACACCACTGCAGGTAGAACTAGGACGACCTACTGGCATTCCCCTCATCAAAGATGGGCTCTCCGTCGCCGCTGTGGCCCCGCCCATTACACCGGGAGAGGGGGGGGGGTTTCCACAGGAGACGCCACGTTCCGAGTAGGCTCCGCCCCCTGAGCAGCTGACGCTGCCTGGCTTGTGTTGTGACAGGGAGGCGGCCGCGGATGAGACGTCGGAGGAGACAGGAGAGCTGGTAATGGTCTCCCGGGTGGGCAGTGACCGGGACAGCCGCATGGCAGGACGCTGCCACCCTGTAGCTAAAGCTGTGACGAAGTGTCAGTGCGGTGCGAGGAGGCAGGAGAGTACAGGCCCAGTGCTGGAGGCTCAGTAATGTACGTGAGCACCTCCTCCTTCCCTGCTAGTGCCAGGGACTAGGCGAGCCCTGTGTTCTGATGAAGTTGTGTCTGTAGCTGCACTCGTACATGACTAGGACATTCTGCTTCTTTATAGTCCTGCTCTTTCTTCCTGTGAGTATATATTGTCCAGATTGTTCTACTTGTTGCCAGCCATGTCTATTTTAGTTTTCAGTGGTTTGCTATTCCCTGATCACTAGGCCTCCTCATTAGGACAGACCGCAGGCCATAATGTCTTGGAGGGATCAGTCTGTTTCCTTTAGTTAAAACTATTCCTGCATCAACCTTGTTTAATAGATGGTGGGCAGACTGGATTTTACAGGCGGGATTTATTGACTCATTACAGGTGTGATTTATACAGCGCTGACTAGTGCTTTACACAGTGCACGTTAATATCAGTCCCTGCCCTCAGGAGCTTACAATCTAAGGTCCTTATCTCACATAGACACATGTTAATTTAGACAGGAGTCAGTGATCCTACCAGCATGGCTTTGCAGTGATGTTTGCTCAGGATCATGTTCCTTTCTGAAAACGACAAAGGTAAATTCGACAACAGTGACTCTTGATAGCTTTCAGATGTTTCCATTGCAGCTAATGTTTTTAATAGGCAGATGTGTGTTTCTGCAGTGCTGTGTCTTTCTTTTGGTACGTTTCTCCTGTGTTTTTTCCTGTGTTTATGTATTGGTTTTTCTTTTCTTCCACAGTTCATCATTTGCACCCCCCAGCCCGAAAGCACAAGTATTCTGCCACCTAGCAGTGCGCATATGAAAAGCATTGCTTGTATTGTGCGCTGCGATTCTAGGTGCAGGGGTTAAATGTTTTTTTCTTTTTTTTTTTTTGTTCTGGGCAGGCTTTATTATTTTAAGCAGGAACCAAACTGTTCACGGCGAAATTTTCCCACATACATAAGAGCATTGCCTTGCTAAACCCTGCACCTCCCCACCGTGGACTCAAATTCCATGGCACCTCATCACCCAATCATACTCCCACATTCGCAGGCAGCTGCCACCAACCCCCACTCTCAGACTGGAATAGCAAAACCTCCGAGAATAAGGCGAAGGACAATAATGTCTTTGCATGTCTGCTGTCTAATGCATCCCTCTTCTTACTAGTAGTAGTCACGGGTGGCAGAAAGCATGGAAGAATAACCTCACAATCCTATCCTTTGTGTCACAGGCGTCTTGTGTTCAGGACTTCCATACTACGCTATATTTGATTTTATTCAGTGCTAATTTTCTCACTGATTACAGGAAACAATGTGGATTTCATGGTAAGGTTCATTGATACCAATTAACTGTAATATAATGAAACAGTACAAGGAACTTCAAAGAATAAAGCAAGGCTGTATTGTGCATTCTACATCATGCCGGAAAGCAGCATCACTGCAGCTAGCCGGGACTCATCCACCAAAACATATTGCCATATTGTTCTTTTGTTGCGGCACTGTTGCTTGCGATGTAAGGGTTAATGCTATTATGCCTGTCTCTAGTACCTTGGATGTCAGCTGGATGGAATAATAGCATGTACTCTAGTCTGAGCCGTTGCTACTGTTGTGTCTGGTTGGTGGGGAGGGGACCTCTCTCTCGTCTCTCTGATGCATAAGTTTGCTTCTCCCTGCCCCCAACTCATTGTGGCTTTTCCCTGATTGTTTCAGATGTGAATTGAGATGGAAGGCTTAGGGGAAAAGAAGCCCTGGGGCAAGCTGAGCCGATTGCTCGGAGCGGAGACAGAGGCAGCTTCTGAGCTTTTCCTGTGCAAGAAGGAATGGACAATTGGAAGAAAGAAAGGTAATTGTGTAACCTATACCATTTCAGGCATGAGAAAAAGGTTATAGATGAATCGTGTGCATACAAACTTTATATAGTCTTTAATATTTGTCTGTTCACATCTCTGGATATTTCCTATTACAAATGTTTTCTCTCTTACTGAACCAGGATTGGCTGCTAATATGCAAACTAGCGGATCTCCTGAACTAGACAACCAGAATAAATAGTTGTCTTTCCCCCTTCCCTGCTGTCAGTGCTGTATCTGTGCTTGACAGCTGGTGTGACATGCAGAGGAGGCATGACCCTCAGTTCTATGAATTCCTCCACATATGTTATGACTGTTTTCCCCATACGCAGTGGGGAATTTATCAAAACTGGAGCAGCTATGCATGGCAGCCAATCAGCTTCTCTCTTCTGTTTGTTCAGTTAAGATTTGGAAATGAAAGAGAGAAGATGATTGGTTGCCATGGGGAACTGCTCCAGATTTGATACATTTCCCTCTGTGTTTTTTACATACAAATGGTTGCCAATTAAAAAAAACCCCATAGGAATTATATTGTTACCACTTGAGATGCAAATAGGGCTTTTTAAAAGACTGATGGTGGCCATTTTGCAGATTGGCTTTTTTATATTCTTAATTCTTCTTTGTTATGGGTCTGTGTGAATCTTTTATTTAACACTCAAGGTGAGTTTTTATTTTATATTTCAAAGACTATTTCCTGAGCTTCTCAAAGCATTTCTAGTATCACTTAAAGTTAACCATGTCCTTCTTTTTGCTAGCCCATTTAACAGTACCTGTGCATAGAGGTGGTTGTAAGCTTTTTATTGCCCCCATCTCATGTCACAGCTGTTTTTTAGCACCTGTGAAAATCTAGACTGGAACTCAAATTTTAGAAGGTTAAGTTGAATTTTACAGTCTGTCTACATATGATCCCTTCTTTCCCGAAGCAAGGATGCTGAAAGTAAGTTGAGTGTATTTTTACACTATGGGGCTGATGTATAAACACTTCACACAGCTTACAGTTGGGTGAATGCTGTGCACATTGCAGTACAGCTGCTAGATTGAGCCAGACCAGCATAGGAATTTCTTGCGCTCCTGCGTTCCATCTAGCAGCTGTAATGCTGTGCGAACAGCATTCGCCCAGATATTCAGCTGTAATCTAGGCATTGCTAGAGTGATAAGAGAGAGCAGCAGCCCCTATGCACGGGTAATGTTAGGTGGAATAGCAGGAGGAATGACACGGTTTACTAAAAGTATATTTTTATTTCACTGACCCCTCGGTGTGTTATGTGCTCCTACTCACGCAGCATAATGAAAAATGTATTTTTATGAATATGTCTTACCTTTTTAGATGTTTTGTTGCAGCAAGCAACATGGCTGAAGCCAGGTTCTTTTCTAAGCGCCTTCACAGTGATCTGTCCGTGTAGAAATAAGACTAAAATTTGAAGATTGTGTTTCTCTCATTGACTTCATTAACATATAATACACAAGCCATTCTTTTAATCCATAATCCTTTTGTTAGGACAGCCAGTGTTCAAATCTACTTTACAAATTATAATGAACAAACCGATTCCTAACATTACAAAGAAGGGGAAGCAAGTAGAAGTTTAAACCCTTAAGAAGCCAAAAAACCCTAAGCCAAGTAAAAGCAATTTAAACTGCAAGAAGCATTATTTATTTATTTTTTAGCTTATGCTGTGGAAATGTGAACATGTAACAAATATAAAATAGGTGTTATCCCATTTTGGCTGCGAATCTGTAGGTTTCGAATCTCAGAACCTGTTACTCCAGGAGGTTTACATCAAGGTTCTGACTTATTTCACCAACCAGGAATCGAATGCTTTCTTTCATTCCTGAGTGACAATACTACACTGCTGGCCCATTTCCACCTTTGCGTAGGTATTTAAAAAAAAAAACAAACATACTTCAGCAATGTACACCAAGTAAACGTGAAGCAGGCATATGCAGTTGCTGTATACGAACACAGAAATGTACTTTTTTTTTTTTTGTTAGCTTTCCTCTTCATATTCTCATGGAAATGACTGCAATTGTGCTTTGCAAGTGATGTGTTTACAAATTGCCTCTCCACCCCCTATTCATTTAGTATTCATATGGCAACCCCCTCCTCGGACAGTGTATTGTGTGCAAAGGCAGAGTTGCTGTTTTACTGATTGTGTTGCAATGAATAACAGGGAGGGTGGAGAGCTGCTTAGAGCCTACTTTATATCCGATCCCGGTGTCAGACTGAGCTTCCTGTGGAGAAAATGTTGAATTTCTAGGCTTCAGGCCTGATAAAAACTTGATTAAAAAAATGAAGAAATCTTGCAATGTGAGTCATGAAAATGTGCACAAATATATATCATCACTGCACCTCTACATTACCACAATAAATGCTAATCATTTACAAAGGTTGAAATGGTCTTTAAAGTATATAACTGGGTAAATTAGGAAATAACCATACACAGTACATCTCTGCAGTGCAACAGAGGTAGTGTTGTCAGCCCAGTACAGAAAGTTAGAGACCTCGGAGAGACAAAACATGGGGACATTGCAGGACTGTGCTGTGTGATGTACTAGAGACTGACACGAGGTAGCAAAGTGCTGTTTATTCCAAGATTGCTGTCTCCACACAAAGACACAGTACAGAACAAGGCATTGGCAAGTCAGTAATAGGGAAAAATCTGTGAGATAACTAGTGACTACCTTATTTTGCGGTCTATAAGACACTCCGGACGATAGGACGCAGGGCTTCTGTGACGGAAATTCTGTCACAGAAGCTGCAGTTAGTGACCGCTGAGACAGGTGGCGCTGTCTCAGTAATCACACAGCGCAGACGAAGAACGGCATTCTCCGTCTGCTCAAGGGGCTCTATGGTGAGCTCCTATGGGGGACAGTGACTGATCACGGTCCCCCAGAGGAAACCACGGCGGGGGGCGGACACAATCGCTCGATTTAATACAAGGGATATAATTAGGTCCCTTGTATTAAACGAGCAGCGGCTCCCACTGTACATTCAGCTCTGCTTGTCAGGAGCAGGGCTGAATGTACAAAAAGAAACTACTCGCCCGACGCCCGAAACTGCATGTCCCGGGCGTCGGGCAATAGGTATTCGCTCCATAAGACGTAGGCACATTTTCCCCCTCCTTTTGGGGGAAAAAAAAGTGCGTCTTATGGAGCGAAAAATACGGTAGTTCTTCCTCCATATGCCTGCCTCATTTCAGACTGTTGTAAGCACCTTTTGTCAGTATGTCAAAAGCTGGTAGGAGGACCCTGGTCATCTGGAATCGAAGAGGTAGCTGGCGGTTCACCAGGGATCCCTTCATGGGAGTTTGGGCTTAACTGCTGGTTACTCCAAGCTCACACAAAAGATTCTTGCAGACACCAAGGAGGTAAGGTACCAGGTAACTAGGAACTGGAGTGAGAGAGGCACGCAGCACCTGGGGACCTGGATGCAGGACTGAGACCTGAGGCCACAGGTGCAGAGGAGGTGCAACAGAGGCTTGAGGCTGTAGGTGCAGATGAGGTTCAGGTTGTGGATGCAGTTGAGCCTGTAGGTGCAATGGGGGCTGAAGCTACAGACACAGTGGAGGTTCTTATTGTGGATGCAGTGAGAACTGCAGAGATTCCAGCTGTAAATAGAGCAGGGACTGCAGGTTCAGCGGAGGCTGAGACTGTGAATGCTGCAGAGGCTGTGGGATCAGTTGAGGTGCAACAGGGGCTGCAAGTGCACTGGAGACTGTGGGTGCAGCGGAGCTTACCAGTAATGCTGAGGCAAATACTGACTGGCTAATGCAGAGGTAAATATTGGCTTCAGTAACTCAGATAAGCAGAGAACTTGCTCAGGCAGAGACTGTATGTACTGATTGAGTTTAAATGGCAGATACAGGCAAAACCCAGAAGTGCCCTTAGCCGCACAGTATAGAGCAGGGGTGCCCATTAGGTAGATCGTGATCTACCAGTAGCTCTCAAAGCTGATGCTGGTAGATCACGAAGGGTGTGAATGGCGGCCACTATTCCATTTTGGTATATTTATTTAGCTGTGCACACATGATAACCTATTAGCCTGAGTCGGCTGAGCCAAGCTCCCTGACACCTTTCTGTTGGATACTGGTGGTTGAAGTGCTATGTATTACATCAAAGAATATTAGTTTACACAGCCTGTTTGCAAAATACAGCAAGGTGAGCCAGGAGAGACAGCCAGGGGAGAGAGCAAGGAGAGACAGCCAAGAGAGTGCAGAGAGACAGCCAGGAGAGAAAACGAGGAATGACAGCCAGTAGAGGGAGCGAGGAGAGACAGCCAGGAGAGCGAGGGAGGGTTTTTTTTCGTTGGTAGATCTCATGTAGCTCGTCATTTGAAAAGTAGATCTTAACAAAAAAAAAATTGTGGGCACCCCTGGTATAGAGGATGCACCAGTGTGTGTTGGGGATGTAACTGTGATAGTGTAGCCATCAATTTTGTTGGACAGCATGGCCTGCATGCATGTAAAGGTGGAGAAAATATAAATAGAGGACAGTGAAATTAAAAAAAAAAAAGAGAAAAAGGAATTCATATACTGACTTACAGATATTAGACCCATCTAGTTACCAAAATATAATGGGGGAGGGGATTTATCAGAGCAATTGCGACAGTCTTAGCCTCTTAGATCTTCCTTTTTTTTCTATTTTTTTTTTTATGTGCAAATCTGTCTTTTAACATGTGCCCCTGTTTTGATCAGAGCTTGCACTACTTTTCCATATGCACGTTTTTTGCAACTGTTTTGCACCTGTTTTCATCTGCACTTGTTCTGGGCTGTATGAAACTGGAGCATCACCTAAGAAAACAATCACAACTTAAGAAGTCCCCGCGACCACTTCTTCAAGAAGCGACAGTTAAGCTTTTTGCCTGGAGTTACGAGTCTTCTTTCCTGGAGTCTATTAAACCTCATTTATCAACAACATTACACTAGTATCCTAAATCTGGTGCAAATATATTCCGTGCAAGTTCAAACACTCGCAATTGCTGTGATAAAGTCCCCCCAATGTGATCTGTTTTCTTGTCACATCTTACCTACCAAACGGAATATAGTAGAAAAAAAGAGAATAATATCTTTCTGGCATAAACTCTATAACAGAAAGGTAGGCCGGTATTGGAGCTGCTTTAGGGGAGTTTATCTGTGTAAAAATATCCCAAACAAGGAAAAAGTCCTTTAGAAACACCAACATTTCTTTATATCCTGCATTAGAAAATAATTACTGTAGTAGTAGATTTACATCAGTTTAAAATTTCCTATAACCAACATCTTGTATTTAAACTGTTATTTTTTTCTGTTTACTTTGTATAGTTATGGTATAGCTTACACATGCATTTCCACTATGTTATTGTTTATTTCTGTAGCCCATCATATTAAGTGTTATATTTAACTGTTAGAATACACAACATCCTGTATTAGTAAATAAGATGTATGAGAATCCTCTTTGTTTTATCTTAGTGACCCAATAGACACACATTTATAAATACAAATGACCAGACTTTGCCATCAGAACTGGCTTTAATGGTATTGAGTAGGTATTTGTTAACTACATTAACTAGGCATGTTCAGTTGAGCAGTGCAAAGGGCACTGATGATATGCAAGGTGCAGTAACCCACAGAAATCAATCACTTTTGGTGTCCTATAACCAAGGCCTGATTGGCTGCTATTGATTACTATACTTTTTTTATCACTGCATTTTGTAATGCCTTATTGAACAAACCTGAGAATCTGAAAAGCTTTTGCATGATTTAAAATCTCTATATAATGAGGATCAGTTAAGGTGCCCATACACTGCACGATTATCGTACGATAATCGTATGCGATCGGTTTTTCATACGATAATCGAGCAGTGTGAACGGAGACGTGCGACCGTTTCTACTGTACGGTCGCACGTCTTCCGTCGAACCAGTATGTTCGAAAACCAGCCGGGAATCGTACGATTCTCGGCTGGTTAGAACGGTGCTCGGAAGACAAATGCCGAACGGGCCGGTGTGCGCACGCGCACACTGCCCGTTCAGCATTGCGGTCACCGGACGCCCGCCCCTCAGGGGGGCGGGCTTGCGATGATCGAGAGTGCGATCTGCCTGTCCAAGATAGGCAGATCGTACGTTTTTTTAAATCCCTGTACAACCATCGCAAGACTAAAGTCTTGCGATGGTTGCAGAGTGTATGGCCACCTTTAGTTGTAGTGTATACGCTTAGCTTGAGGGTGTCTGACTGTGGCAGACCCTAAAACATTAATCAGGTGAAAAGACTTTAGGTAATGTAATCCTACAGAATTGCCACCCAGGCTGGTTGTGTGGAAACATCTGTATGTACTAAAGAATGTGAACAGTTTTTTAGAAAACTGATCCAAAACCAACGACCTCTCATTAGCCACTATCCTTTATATAGTTACGTAGGTTGAAAAAAAACATGTCCATCGAGTTTAACCTATAGAGATATGGGGGGGAACAAAAAGAAAAAGCCTAAACAGAACGCTATGCCCACAATTACCCACTGTTGATCCAGAGGAAGGCAGAAAACCCCTATAAAGCCCCCCTGTTGCTGCTGGCCATGCCTGCTACCCCTTGTTAACACAAGGGATCAGGGATTTAAGGGGAAAGTCATATGCTTTATTGCTAACACTATTCTGTATAATGTGGTAGATCTGATCTGTTTTTGTTCCTACAGGCTGTGACCTGGCATTCCCTGGAAACAAGTTGGTGTCTGGAGAACACTGTAAAATCACAGTGGATGAGAAGTCTGGCCTTGTTTCATTAGAGGACACTAGGTAACTTTGCATACATTGCTTCATGTATATGAAAATGGTTTAGAAGGCTCAGCCAAGGGCAATAAAAACTGGGTATATTTTATAATGAAGTGTACTGTATATGGCTTTCTTGCAATATTGGATTTCATTTTCCAATCCCTAGTAGATAGTTTTTGGGTTACTATAATACTCGTATACAAAACACTTGTTAAAAGCAGAACTCCGGGCATTTTAAAAACCTTTCCTTGCAGTGAGGCTATCCCCACATTGCAAGGGTTAAGTGTTCGTTTTTCTATAGGGGATGGAATCAAGCAGATATGCTCACCTGATCCTGAGGAAAAATGTAGAGCTGTCATGTTCACTCTTCAGGTGCCCATACACCTTACGATTATCGTACGATAATCGTATGCGATCGACTTTTCGTACAACAATCGTAAGGTGTATGGGTAGTGTGCAACTGCCAGTACTGTGCAATCGTACAACTTTTGTCTTTCCTGCATGTTAGAAAACTTCAGTCGAATGTACGATTTTGGCAAGGTTGGTGGCGTTTCCGTACGTCAAAAGTCGTACGACTAACACTGCTCATGCGCAAGCGCAAATACGTGCGGTCGATTACCGCAATATGTCCAGGTGTTTGTTTTTTTTAACTACCGCTGATTGAACCTCGCGATAATCGGGGCATGATGGGGCTGCCGTACGACAATTGTACGACGGTTCGATCATCGGATGAAAAGTTTCGTACGATAATCGTAAGGTGTATGGTTAACTTTCCTGTGTTCTCTCATAAATCATTATTGACATGTGGAGAGTGAGATCGATTCAGTAGTTTGCAAAAGACAACTGGCAGGGCTGACATCATTACTTGCGATTTTCAGTCCAAAACAGCGGACTGAAGAGAACGTTATATATCTTGCAGTGCAGATGAACTCTCTTAAGTTTTAGCTGGTAGGAGGGTAGTGCACAAATCAGTCTTTGTAGCCACATCATATTATTGTATTGTACTGTTGTGTTCTGATACAGTACATTTCCATGTCTTTGTAATTGAGTACTTATTTTAAGCATCTCCTCTGCATGGCTGTCTCCTGGACATTGCAGGCCTGTTGTCTCTCCCTGAGATGATCACTTTGTCAGATTGCCACTAGTGTGGCCATTTGTAAACCATTGAAGCAACAAATAAGACTTTTTTTCTAAGCAATTCTTGGAATATGGGATCTTACTACTCACATATGTGATGGCTACATTGGAGGGTCAGTGGAACAGGCAGGCAGTGGTCCTGGACGCACACACGGTTATGGTGCTGCTGCTGTTTCCCCGGCCTGGCTGATGGGGGGTGAGGGGGTGTACACGGCGCGGAGGTAACGGTACACAAGGCACAGCCTCCTCTGATCTCTCTTGCTTGGTCGCAAGGAGCTATGTGAAAGATCTTAAAAAGGAGCAGGACTGCGGGCGGCCCAGTTCCTGTCAGGCCACAGACTGGTCCTCGGTGCTGTCAGTCCACAACAAAAAAACAGAAGATAAAGTTAAGGGCATTTTTGGAAGATCAACCGGTATTTTTTAAACTTGCAGGGTCTTTGAAGGGATAAAACTTGGGGAAATGTGCACGCATTAGAGAGATGTACTGCATGTTTTTATTTTTCCCTTACTGTATGTGGCTGCAACATATTGCACCCAGACATGGACAAGAGGTTCAGGTGTTGTTTATCCCAAGTATTAAAATAGGGAAGATGCTAGGTCTAAATGTCTTTAACCGTGGAATGATCTTTGGTGCCAGATGTAGAAGTTGCACAAAAAAAAAAGTCAGCAGCAGTTCTGTAGTCAGAAACACCTATTTAGGAGAAATGAAGTCGGCAACAGCTAAAATAACCACTGTTTATAAAAGTTGTGTGCAGAAGGGCAATCCTAATGCACAACATGTAGAACCTTAAAAAAAACAGAAGTGGGCAATGCGGTGGTTAAGTGAATCTAGAACTCTTCCCTTTTAAGGATAGAAGTCCTTGGTTAGACTGTCAGATGTACCCATGCAATTGGCTATTAGGCCCGGGCACTGTCACAAGGCAGCAGGTCACATGTTCCTACCTGGAAATTCTGGATATTCTTGCTTGCTACAGAGGAGCAACATCAATGTTCTGTTTGGGGTTTTTTTGTTTGTTTGTTTTGTTTTTTAATGTAACATAGCAGAATTGAAAGTCAAAGTTCGCTGTTTACTTTTGGACGCCTTTGTCCCTCTGTAGCAGGAATGCAAATTTGGGAGTTAATCATTTCAGGATCGCAGTCATCACTGACAGTTGGCAGTTCCACCATTTAAAAGAGAAGTATGGGGTAAGTGTTTTTCCCCATAGTTCTCTTCAGGGTCACCAGAAGACATATACTAAGCTCCTCTCGTGATCCAAAGCTCAGTTTATAGCGGGCAATTGCCCATGATATACTGAGAGCACCGCAACAAGGACGGATCCCAACAGTACTGTCATGATACACCAGCTGCGTAGGTGACAGCGGGCTCTGCCCACCCCTCCCCCCATTCGTTCCTCCACTCAGCACTGGCGGTTCAGAGAGGGGAGGGGGGAATCCCTGCGCGGAGCAGTGACTGCCAGTCACCGCTCACTGCAGGGAGACGATTGGGAAGTGAGCAGATTTGCTACATATTTCTACTCATTTACAGTTCAATAGAACCGACCTGTGACAGCTTCTTTGTCACAGGTCGGCTCTAACTATGAGAATAAGTGGAAATCACTCACCTCATAGTTCTCCTTTAAACCCTGTTGGAGCCCTGCATTGCTGCTGAAACCGGGTGCAGTTTTAGTGGCACTGGCATAAACAAGTGCAGTCCCAACACCTTTTCTAAAACAACATCTGGGACTCAACTTTTTAAAAGAATAACACTAAAGCTGGCCGCACACCTATAGATTTTCTGCAGATTTTCTATGTTCAGATGGACAAAGTGCATCAGATTCCTCCATCTATGCTAAACTGTGTGGATGGAGGAATCTCCTGCTGGGCCAAGCTTCAGTATCTTGCTAGTCGGTCCAGCTGGCTCTCAAAATACCTGAACAATGCCTGTATCCAATCAGATTGTTCAGGTATTTTGAGAGCCAGCTGGACCGACTAGCAAGATACTGAAGCTTGGCCCAGCAGGAGATTCCTCCATCCACACAGTTTAGCATAGATGGAGGAATCTGATGCACTTTGTCCATCTGAACATAGAAAATCTGCAGAAAATCGATAGGTGTATGGCCAGCTTTAGACTCTCTCCTTTAAGTCAATGTAAAGAACTGAAAAACATTTGGCTGGCCTTGAGGACTGGAATTCATCATCTTAAAGCAGCATGATCATCACCCCCAAAAAATCTTCCCTACAAAAGAAGTGTTATGCTTACTTCTCTGGCAGCCTGTCTCCTATCTTTGCTGCATTGAAGCTCTGCTAGAAGTGACGAATGCTGAAGATTCTAAGAGTGTGGGATACCTGTTTTCCATACAGTTTGCGTTGTTTCGATCCTCTGGCCCCTACATCACTATAGGAAAGAGCAGTGGTATGAGGGACACAGGCATCTCACACACACACACGCCTCCTATAGTGAGGGATATGACAGAGGCTGTAGTGCTTCATTGGAGCGTAGACAGGAGACACAGGCCCCTGAAGTGGTAAGTATGATACTTCTTCTTTTGCAAGGAACTGTGCTTTAAGATAATTTTGGGTGATGACCATGTTGTTTTAAACTAACAGATGGTTATGACCTCAATAAGGGTTGTGTACAAGTAATGCTAACTTTAGAACTCTGAAACTAGCTAATTTTTTTGCCATAACTTGCCATCCTTCTCATCAGCAGTCTCAGACCAAGTATGCCTGTGTTAGAAAAGGCAAACCTAAAGCCATAAACTAAGTGCAGAATCTAAATGTAACTATATTTCTCTTTGATTAGCAGTATGGAAAGTTGTTAATTTTAGTTGTGTATGAATAGACTACAAATACTGTTGTGTGTTTGCAGTGATTACAGTTTTCATGTTACTCTGTTTTTTATGTACTTTCCTGCAGCACAAATGGCACTGTGATCAACCAGCAGAAGGTGGTAAAGAAACAGACATATCCCTTAAAGAATGGTGATATTATCTACCTTGTTTATAAGAAAAATGAGCCAGAACAAAGTAAGTTACAAATGTTTTTCATGTTAAAAAATAAAACTACAATTATGATAGCTTTGACTCAATTTGCCCGTAGCATCTCCCTCCGCCCAGTACACCCGTTTAGAAAAAAACAATTTACGTTGGGATTTCTGCTTAAGTAGGTTCTCCAGGTGCGCCCGTGCCTCCCTCCAGGCCCGGAGAGTACCCCCAGAAGGGTCCCCCACATACACCTCCTCACTCTCCGCCACCGACTGACGTGCCTCCATCTCAGCCCTTCTAGAGGAGGATTTGATGGAGCTAATGCTCTTGATAAACAGGCCTCTCAGGTAGGCCTTCAAGGTGTCCCACACCACCCCAGGAGGGGCAGAAGGTACGTTGATTGACAGGAAGAAGCAAATGTCCTTCTCCAGCAGTGCTCTGTCGGACATCAAAGACAGCCAGAAGGGGTGTAGCCGCCAGTTGACTGAAAAGGGATGCCGGCCCGTGGATAGGCCCAGGAGAAGCATGGAATGGTCAGATAAGCATCTAGGCTGAATCTCCGCTGATCTGACAAATGGGAGCATTTCGGATGTGCCCAGAGCATAATCGATCCGAGATAGCGTATTGTGTGTGCTGGAGCAACATGTATACTGATATTCTAGAGGGTGGAGCATCCGCCAAAGATCTAAAAGACCCAGTTCGGAGCATATTTTCTTAAAGGGAGTGATAAGCGGAGATTCAGCAGAGCCTGCTCTAGGAAACCTGTCCTTTATAAGGGTCCATGCAATTATTGAAGTCCCCAACGGCAATAACAGGAATAGGAAGCTTATCAGTTAGGAATTTGGCGAAATCCTTAAGAGCACCGCTGGAGAATGGCGGAGGGATATAAAAGTTAGCAAGAATACATTCAATTCGTTGCCCTTCTCCCTGCAGTGCTGCTGCATCGTGTGAGGCGCTCCGTGCGGGCCGCCGCCATCTTGCGGCCCAGGTCCCGTTTTTTGATTGTCCTTTTTTTTGGACATGGCGGACGCGGGCAGTGACCGGAGCGCAGGCGGGTGGATCGGGCAGAAGGCAGGAGTGTGCCGATTGAAGGAGAGGAAGGTAGGGGCCAATAGACAGGGTGTCCCAGGATCTATTGCAGGATATACGGCGGGAGCTCTCCTATACACGTCTGCCTACATGAAGCCGCTGGCCACGCCCCCGATAGCTATGACTTTAGTGATAATTTCAAAAAGGTCCTGTAGCTCTAGACTCCCTAAAATTCTATGGTGGCTATTCAAATAATGTATCACTACTTCTTTCTGCTGCTGCACCTTCATACTACTTACTTATTTTATTTTGGTTTTGTTTTCTTTTAACCTTTAGTAAAAGTACAATTAAAAAATCTATGGCAGGTCTCCGAAATGGCATGGCCTAAAATGTAATCAAGTTAATACTTCTGATGTTGAGTACCTGGTAGTGACTGCAAATACATGCTTTAAAGCTGAACTTTGGGCTAAACAAAATATTTTCTAAATGCAAGAGGCACACATATTCTTACTGGAATGGAGGAGAAGATCGTAAGCAGTTTGTGATCACTCAGTTCTCGATCTATAGAGCCGGCATGTGACAGCTTTAGTGTCACACATCAGCTTTACCTATTGGGATGAGTGTATTTCACCCATTCCATATTTCTCCTTTTAGATAAACTTTTTTTCCCCCCATAGTTCAGCTTTAATGCTTATATCAATTTTTTGTCTCTGTGGAGCTCCTGCATCCTTAGCTTTGGCTGTGCATAGGTCCTTGACTTTTGGTCAAGTATACACTAGCCCCGCTACTCCTGGTACCAAGCCCAAGGGGTATGAGTACTATGTTGCCCAGGAGTTTAAACCTTCAGCCGGGGTCTGTGATCAGAGCACACTGTAACCCATTTGAAAAAGGAAAACAGATACCGTATTTGCCGGCGTATAAGGCGACTGGGTGTATAAGACGACCCCCTAATTTTCCACTTAAAACATAGGTTTTCGGCTATACTCATCATATAAGACTACCCCACTTCCGAGGCAACACCATTTAAAAATATCATGGATGGATGTGCGGTAGCTTCAGCTACATACGGTATACCGTGCTGAGCCAATCATGGCGAACAATGTATTCTATTAATGAATACAAAGCTTGCTTGGATTGGCAGAGGTTGTGTACATCGCTCACCGTGATTGGCTCAGCTACTGTATGTACCCGAAGCTACTGTACATACAGTATTGCCACACATCCAGCGGGCTGACAGATTAGGGATGTTTGTTTTGGGCCACCTTGGCCTAAACGAACTAAAGGTATACATTGTATACCCTGCGTATAAGACGACCCCCAATTTTCGGGGGATGTTTTTAGTCATAAAAAGTAGTCTTATACAGCCAATACAGTACTTTCAAAGTGCAGGTCTACAGGTACTAAGAACTAACCTGTAAAGAGAACAGCCTTATGCGTACCTGTCCATTGGCCGATTTGCTTACAAACTTCACATTGTAGCAGTGCTACTGGCACTGACCTGATTCAACACTGCCAGGCGTGTGAAATAACATATCCTTCTCTGGCTATTGTGGTTCCTCCCAATGACCCCTACACCGCTATTGTGTCTAGGGGTCTGCAGGACGGCCCACTGTTTGACTAGTTTGAAGAGCCAAATTAAATTGGTGCAGTGGGCACTTATGGATACTTACTGTATGTGTCTTTCTTACAGGTTAGTTCTTTTGTGATTTTGTAGACCCCCTGACAGCTGCTACAGGGTGCAAATGGGAAAATGTTGCATTTAAAGCCCCCCCTCTGGACAAAATGTATTGCCCCCTTTTATCTCCTCTAACCCATTCAGAGGTTGTTTTTTATTTATTTATTTTCATATTCTATTTTGTGAAGCATTTTATACTTGCCTAAGTCTGGGTTCCTCGCTGACACAATTTCCTGGAATGGAGAAGCGGTAATCCAGCACAGGTTCCCACACGCTGATGTCATTGCCTACATAATTGCTTCTGAATCCTGAGAGGAAACCGACACTGGACAGCCAATAGGAAGTGTCCACATCACGCAAGCAGTGATGTGGACAACTTAACAAAGGAGCAGGCATCATCCTGCATACTGGTGCACATGCTTTGTGATCATATAATCACTTATTCAGTGGCTGGCTTTAAATGAATCTGTGGCCAGGGTATGGATATTCAATTATTTACATATTTTTAACAAGCCATCTCTGACCTGTTTAGCTGCAGGCTACCTTAACAAGCTACTGCTTGTTAAGAACACTATAGTGTTCTTTGCCTGGCCACAGGTTCACTTTAAAATGTAAACTGTTTTATCGCTTTGTAATCAGTATAAAAAAAACGTTTTTTTGGAAAACCAGAATTATCTGACAAGAAGGAAGCAGACTGCCAGCATAGCAGATGTCAAACTTTTAACATTTTGTATCACAAACGCTCTCACCTATGACCATAGCATACAATATTTTGTTTCCAATGTAAAATGAACTAGTTGTTTGTTAATCTAGTTGTTTGTTTACAGATGTTGCATATCTGTACAAGTCCTTGAGTTCAGCACAAGACAATATACAAGAACCAGAAGGTATGTTAGCTGGACTGCAGATGGTTGTCTCCTTCAGGTTGTAGCAGCCCATATGTGCGAAAATTCATTTTCTCTTCCGTTCATTGAAGAACACAGGAAGAGATTGTAGATCATGTACCCATGTACCGTAGGATTCTTTGGTGGTTTGCGGATCTCAAACAGCCGAATAATCCTACGGTGCATGATCTACGATCTGTTCCTGTGTCCTTCAATGAACGCAGAGAAAAGGATTTTACAGGAGTATAAAAATTCTATTTTTCTATATTATAAATATGGATTTTTAGAAGTTTTTTTCTTTGGAATTTGCAATCTCTTGTTTGAATAGGCTCTCCCATGTAGTGATAAAGAGGAGTCTCTGCCTCCTTCAGCCCTGCTGTAAAAATAAAAACTAGGCCCTTATCCAGTTGCGTTGTACAATATTGAGCAGGCTGGAGCCCAGCCAGTGCTTTCCATGCACATTTTCAGTTTTTTTGGCAAACCAGTGTTAAGCTAATGTCTGCCTGGTAGATTCTCACACAAATGTTTATTTTAATTTGTCCGTATTATTTCCCAATGTAATTATGAAGGTGACAGTGATGGTGGCCATACACCCGACCAACCATTGCTACTGTCAGTTTCCTTATGTGTTAAAGACTAGCCCATACATTTCAAATTAACGTGCTGGTTTTGTACACCCCTATCTATTTTTAGATACCTCAGGGATCGGCGAGGAGACGCAGGTTTTGTCTCCACTTCAAGATTCTTCCTTTACCTCTGAGGAACCTCAGCCTTCCACTTCCACGTCCAGCCTCTTTAACACACGCACTACCTCTGCTAAAGAGCCAGATTCTTCCTTGAAAGTTGGGTCATCCATTGATGGTGAGAGCATTGCAGTCCAAAACAAATTTTTCTGTAACTTGTACTTTGGGCATTGCTCTGTTGTATTTTTACTACTAATATATTTCATATGACATTTCAAAACCAAAGATGTTAATAAGCTCTGGTGTCCAATCTGCAGTCCATTGGCATTTATTTTGCAGACCTCAGAGCCCATGCAGATGGTCTGTGTTTTCCTTTTCTAGGTGCTTAGACCAGTAAAGGAAAATATTTTAGACTGGCTTCTGGCAGTTTAATGCTCTTACACTATCTTACTTTTTCTGTGCTGTCCATCCCTTTTCTATTTTTTTTTCTTATTATTTTTCTGTTTGGCTTTTTTTTTTGCTTGGATCTTCTATAATGGATTCTCCTGAGTGAAATATCAAATGTGGCACAAGTAGGTTTAAGGGGGCTGTAAAAAGCACAAGTGTGAAAACATTGATTTGTAATCAAACAGTAATAGCTAGCAGTCTCATATAATGTGTCTCTGATCTATGACTGTCTAATGAAAAGTGCCCCCAGTTTATGACCATCTTTTGTAATCGTATTTGTAATCGTAATCAAACAGTAATAGCTAGCAGTCTCATATAATGTGTCTCTGATCTATGACTGTCTAATGAAAAGTGCCCCCAGTTTTTGCCATCTTCTGAAGCATGTCCCAATTCTTCAACAACTCCTACATCATGTCTTCTCCTGTGGCATGGCTGCAGTCTGTCTGCTTTCTGCAGCATTACATTTACTGAAAATTGAGGGGGACTTATGGTGTCATCATGGGCTGCACTAGAGACTTCCTTTTTCATAATAGTTGACTACCACTGATATAAAGAGTAATTCCTTAAAGACAAATTCCAGGAACTTACATTTGCATTTAAAATACCCTGTAATATAAACACTGCACAGTACAGGTGAAATTTCAGACAAACAAGCAGCCACAGTTTGAGAAAACAGTTTCAGAGTTTCCTTGGATCTTAGTCTCTTAAAGCAGAGTGACAAAATCCAGCTATTCCTCCTCTGTATTTTATAGCTGGGCAGGTCTGACAAGGGCAAAAAAAAAAGTCTGAAACACGTTCTATGTGAATGTGCTGTGCTTTACCCCATCCACTTCTGGTGATTTGCCTGGAAAGGGATCAGTTAAACAGCACAAACAGAGATGGCAAAGTTGACAGGGGTGCTATATTTACTGTCTGGTCATACGTCTGTCATGTACATGTATATTACACTAAACTCAGGAGTTAAATCTTAGAAATTACCAACAACAATGTCTCTTATTTGTGTATCACTGAATTCTTCTTGACACTGTCCTTCCTTCTGGAGGGTGGCTTTTGTTCCCCATGGTCCCTGTGTGTGTTGTAAAGCAGTGGTCCCCAACCCCCGGGCCGCGGACCAGTACCGGACCGTGGATCAAATGGTACCGGGCCGCGCAGTACTTTACAACACACACAGGGACCATGGGGAACAAAAGTAGTCACCCTGCAGAAGGAAGGACAGTGGTAGCATGAATTCAGAGACGATTTGAGGCTCTACAGCTGAGTGATACACAAATAAAATACATTTTTGTTACTAGGTAGGGTACATAAACACATTTTTAAGATATAGGGTCACTTTAAACCTGTCCATAGGTGCATACGACTGGCTACTTAGCAGTTTGGCCATTGGTTAAGATACAGTTTGCAGAAAATGATCACACTAGTAAGTACACATTGTAAGATTTTTCACAAGATTTCCTAGTTTTTCTAAATTACAGTTCTGCTGTGGACATACAGCAGATTGATTACAGTAGATTGGGTGAGATTCAGACATACGAGTTCACTGATCAAGCAAACTTCCCTATAAACCTACACTGGACAGCTTTAGATATTTGTGAATCAGTCATTGGTTTATTTCTAGAAATTACCTTTCTGACTTTTTTCATGAAAGATTTAGTAGACTGGTTATGTAAGCAAAAGATAAATTTTTACCTTGGAATTTTTCACTCTTCACCTATGAATTTACTGGTATTTTACATAAAAGCATCTTTTCCATAAGGTATATGATGTATGTAAAACTGTCTTTATTACCACATGCTAATATATCATTCGCTGTCAAACTATTCACTTTATGGTATGTTAGACAATGCCTGTGCTGTGACAAGAATGAAGAGTCAACCTGAGCAGCAATCCAGTTCAGGACTTGATGGGCAGAACATACACACAGCAAGGGCCTCTTCTCCTGCGAGAGATACAGAGCAAGATGGTCAGCCTCCTCCTAAAAAGAAGCTGAAATCTGGTTAGTTTACACTGTATTACTGGCTTCCTCAGGGACCACACATGGAAAATATTCAAAGTGGTTAAAAATAAAATGCATTTCGAGGTTAACATTTTACTCGCATCTATGACGGTGTTTGTAAAATATGACTGAAAAGTTCTGTAAGTTGGTCTTTTGTGAGTGGTAATAGTAGTGGTTGTGCAGGCAGATGATGTTATCCCATAAGTGACTGCATTGCCTTTCTTACCATGAGGAAAACTAAGTGTTATGTCTCGAGTTTTGTTCCCTCTTTGCAGTGTGTTCTACAACTGTCCTGCTAGTATACACACTGAAGTTGATTTACTAAAGGAGTAGGGGCTATTCACTTTGCAATGTGAATGCTGGTGCATGAGATGAACCTCTATGTACTTTGAATAACGAACTATGTGCAAAGAATATATATTTAAAAAAAAAAAAGTAGGATTTTTGTTAGCACACAATTGGTTGACACAGCTTCACTTTATTTACTAAGCTTGGTGTACATTCACTGCGTGAAAAGCTTCTACCGCTTTCTGAAATCAATGCCATCAAACTAGACCCTGTCCCACTCTAACATCCATACTATCAAAAATCCAGCCATGATGGTTATTATCAGCACAGGGTGTAGTGTTTGAAATGCTGACACAGTACTTTTCATAGGAACATGTGGCTGTCTGAGGGTTAGTTGCTACTACATACATGCTTCTGCAGAAAAATGAGTGCTCAGAAAAGTTCACCCAGCACATCCAATAATATTTTATGATGTTCAATATTGCTAGAATGCTGTATAGGTTTTCATATTTTTTTCAGCTCTGATTTCTTTAAAATGAATATCCTGCCTAAACTGATGTTGGCACCAAATGTTTTTGGATGAAGGTCTGCTGAAGATGAGCTGTTTGTTCTAAAAGGAGAAATCCAGTTCTTTTACCACTTGCAGTCCGGAGCATTTTCTTACTATTTGCGCACACATGATAAAATATACATTTGTTGCTAGAAAACAGCTTTAGACCCCCGAACAATGATATATGTTCTGAAAGCAGAGGCCCTGTAGAATAAAAAAAAATGCTAGTTGCAATTTTTTATGTCGCACGGTTTTTGCGCAAGTGTTTATCAAACCAGTATTTTTAGGAAAAAATAAACTAAATTAAAATTTAGTGCACAGAAACATAATACCCAATTTTTTGGTAAAATATAAAAGACTGGTTCACGCCAGGTAAATAGATACCAAACATGTCAAACCTTAAAATTGCATCCGCACGTGAAGCCGCAAAAAAGGTCAATACCTCAAATTTCCCATAGGGAACACTTTAAACGCTTTTACCTTTTTAGTTTAGTGTTATCAGTGAATGATGGCCCTAGAATTACTGCTCTCACTCCGACTTTTGCGGCGATATCTAAAATGTGTAGCGCAATTGTCGTTTTCGCACGTAGACGCACCAAAGCGTGTTTGCGTGTGTATGTGCGTGCACGTGGGGGGCGGGTCACTTAAAGGAGAACTATGAGATGAGTGATTTCCACTCACTTCATAGTTCTAAGCCGACCTGTGACAATGAGACTGTCACAGGTCGGCTCAGTAGATCGGGAGGTGAGGGAACACATACCGGGTTCCCTCACCTCTCGATCCTGTCACGGCTCTCTGCCATGACAGGGGGAGGGGCTGGATTCCCCTCTCCCCGCTCCGATCTGCCAGCGCTGACTGGCGGAAAGGGAGGGGGCGGGTACAGCTGGCTCTGCCTCTAGGTAGGCAGAGCCAGCTGTCACTCACGCAGCTGGGCGGATCCCGTCATCTACGTCGGGATCCGCTCCGTAGCTCACGGTATACTGAGCTTAGGGTAACGGGAGGACGCTAGTTTGTGTCCTCCCGTTACCCTAAGGAGAACTATGGGGAAAAACACTGACCCCATAGTTCTCCTTTAATAACATTTTCTAAAATTTTTCTTATGTGACTTCATTTTGTTTACATTTTTGAAACACTTTTTTGTTTTTTACACTAACCCTATTGCTATCACAAGCACCCCATGTAATAGCAGATAGGGTGTGACAGGTCCTCTTTATGGAGACATCAGGGGTCTTTTAGACCCCTAATGTCACCTAGGGACCCCAAAGAAGCTGAGGAATCAGAGATCTGCTTCCCCAGCTTCTTCTCCTGGCTCTAAGAGCCAGAGACTGTAAGAGTGACACTGGAAGTGATGTAATACACATCACTTCCGGGTCCAGTGATCAGAGGAGAGATGAGCGGCTGGAAGCTGCTGAATCTCTCTCCGAGCATTGCGGTGAGACCCGCCGGGCCCCGTACGGGGACAGCGGTGCCCAAGGAAACCAACGGTGGTGGTGGGAGGGTACAAACAATCCGGCGGCTGTACAGACGCTGGATCGCTTGTACATTAACGGCAATCACCTGCTGTTAAATGCGGTACCAAGAACACGGCTGCTGCAGCAACCGTGTTCTTGTTTTAACCACTTTAACGGGCCGCTGTCTATAGACATATTGCGGCCTGGAAGTGGTTAAAAAATTTTTTTGCAAAATTAAATAACTGCTTTAGCTATTTTGTAATGTTATACTCTGAAAATCTGCCTTGCCATTTTAAACTCCTGCCAGCCATGAATTTTGTAAAAATAAAATTAAATTTTTCTTCATTGTAACCATGGTTACAGTATTCCATTTGTAGGCAGGATTTTCAACATCCTTGTCATTATGCTTCTGTTATCAGTATATTGCCTCTCCCAGAAATCTTTACATAGCTCGATGTCAAGTTGCAGCCAGCGAGTTGTGAGAAATGCACCACCCTAGCAAAGTACTTAGGTTTACTGTAGGTAGGTGCATGTCTAAAGGTGCCCATACACTTTACAACCCTCGCAAGACTTTTGTCTTGCGAGGGTTGTAAAGTACTTACAAAAACGTACGCTCTGCCCATCTTGGACAGGCAGATCGTACCTGCGATCATCGCAAGCACACACCCCCCGACGGGCGGGCTCCCGATGACTGCAATGCTGAACGGGCAGTGTGCGCATGTGCACACCGGCCCGTTCGGCAGTGATCTCTCGATCATGTTAAAAACCAGCCGAAAATCGTACGAGTATCGTGCAGTGTATGGGTATCTTATAGGGATGGCTCTACAGTTCTACCGTTTTATCACAACTCTGAGCCTGATCATGTAATTTATAGTAAAGGCAGAACCTCGCAGATAATACTTATTTTGAAAGATGTAAGCAAACACACTGCAATGCATTATCTACAAAGCAGGTTAAGATCGGTCTTAAAGTTTACAAAAAATGTATATAGTTTACATGAAATTTACTTTTATTCTCTTCAAAACTGGAATTTCACTTTATGGGTAGAGAGTGCTTATATATATTTTCTTATTTATTTAAGAAATGGAATGTGCAAGCAGTCATGCCCCTCCCCTGTCTAGTAATGTAAAAGGCACATCAGAGGATGCTAAACCATCTAGCATGAAACCAGACAAGATGGAAGAGACCCTGACCTGCATCATTTGTCAAGAGCTGCTACATGACTGTGTCAGGTAATAAGAGAATCAGCAAGATGTATAAAGGGTTTTAATTGTAATAGACAAAAAGAGAAATATTTGTAGTCAGTACTGCACTTCCTCTTTGCCCTTCTGCCAATTGCTACATGAAAGGAGAGAGAGTGACGCATATTTTTTAATTGATGGGGACTATTACAGGAAACCATCAACAACATTGAATGATGTGAATGTTTCTTTGTCATTGATCTTTTTTAGTTGGTCAGAAATATTTAGATTTGCTGTGGTTTAAACCAGTTGAATTAAGTTACAATGACAAATGCAGTGTAGACTGCCCATACCAGTAAGACTGGGCTCTCTGTTTTTTTAAATACTGTACCCCTTGGAATGTTTTCTAAATACTTGTTGATCCTGCCAGTAGAACTATTGGATTGACACTTTCTTTGATAGGATGAGAACACTCTTCTTTCTGCAGTGAAATCACTGCAGCATTGTCACCCTTGCTGCTATTGTAGCTGCTTAGATGTTATAGTTCTATTTAGTGAATAGCCATGCCTAGCTCTGACCATAGCCCTTCAGATTGACAGTGTTCTGCTCTATCTGCAGGAACTCTCTGAACACTTTAAAGGAATAAACCTAGAGGCTTTAGATGGACTTTCATTTTGTCTGAATTGCTGTTTCTTTTCTTTCAGTTTGCAGCCATGTATGCACACATTCTGTGCTGCTTGCTATTCTGGCTGGATGGAACGCTCCTCCCTCTGTCCTACCTGCCGATGTCCTGTGGAACGTATTTGTAAAAACCACATCCTCAACAACCTGGTGGAAGCCTACCTACTTCAGCATCCAGGCAAGTTTTGTGAACCTGTAGCTGTATACTAAACAAACTCAGATTAGATTAGTGCCCTGAGGAGGTAGGATATCTTTCCTTGGCTCTGTTGTTTGACTTTCAGACTGAGACAGGCCGATTCTCTTAAGGAGTGGGAGCCTCTGCCATTTTATCAGGACATTGTGCACATCTTGGGCTTTTTGGCTGCAAGGCAGCTACTTAGTCCTCAACTCAGAAGTGCAAGTTTTACCACAAGAAAGTTCAAAGGGGACTGATTGATTAGCGCAGTCCCAGGGTGGTGTAGTTGATGGCGGCCCGTGTGCTGCTCCTATATAGGTTGGACCGGGGTGTCCAACTGTAGGACAGAACAGGAAATAGAAGAGGTCAGGAGCGCGACTGTCTGGTGCCTGGTGTGTGGATGGGGAATGATGAGTGAATGAGGATGTGTATATGTGGGGTGGTGAAGAGGGGATGTTGAGCACTTACGTGTGATCGGTGTGGTGATGGGACACTTCTTTTGGTGTGGTGATGGGACACTTCTTTTGGGGCTCATCATTCCCCATCCACACACCCGGGACCAGACAGTCACGCTCCTGCTCTCCTCTTTTCCTGTTAAAGTTTTACCACAAGACTGTTAAGGCATATGCTAGCGTTTGATGCAATGTGCTCCAAACGGTTCCATGATTCATGATTCTTGAGGTTGCCTTAAATTTCGCCCACCCCTCTTTCATGGGACTGCTTTTGTACATTCCTTTAGCAGAATATTGACTGGCTTTGGACTGTAATATCCTTTTCTCCAGCAATTCTTTAGGGGAAGCAGATGTCTTATGTAGTTTTCTTTTCTTGTTGATGGCCTGTTGCCTCATTTGGGATGTTTTCCCAGGAAGGGTATCTTCTTTTACTACCATTTGCTCACTGCATGCTACTCATGAACTTGTTCAGCACATGCAGAGATATAGAGCTGCTCGCTGGGGCTGTTCCCTTTGCTTTGTCTAGCGTTCAACAATTAAGATTAATTGACTGCCACTATGTGTAGAAGTGAACTGCTGTTGTGAGCTTGTTTTAACCCTTTTATTGCTATGAAATGTAGGGGACACATCCTTGGGGTTAAAAGGGGAACCTGTTAGGGCCCAATCACACCTATGCACATACATCACCAAGTGCACTGGAACACACATGTATAAGTGTAAATGTATGTGAGTCTGCATACAAAATGCATGAATATATCTGTGCCTTTTTATAGTCCATTTTACTGGAAGTGCATGATGGAATAGGAGAAATAAAGAAAGTACCATTGTCTATAAATGGAACACGTTCATTATACATCTGAAAGCGGCTTAGAATCCCTTTTTTTTTTTTCTCATTTCTTTCTTTTTTTTGCTGCAAAATACAGAAAAGTGCCGCAGTGAGGAAGATAGACGCAGCATGGATGCCCGCAATAAGATCACTCAAGACATGTTGCAGCCCAAAGTGCGCCGATCATTCTCTGATGAAGAGGGAAGTTCTGAAGACCTACTTGAGCTATCGGATGTCGACAGCGAATCCTCAGACATCAGGTTTGTGATAGATGATTTTGCTAAAATTAGATATCATGCTGCCTTTTATATTGTTTCTTTTAATAACTACATATTTGACTTCTGTTTTTGGAAACACATTTGTTAAATGATCCAGAAATTTAAAGTAATTTGCTAATTTATTTAAAAAAGAATTGCTAGATTTTCCAAAGCAGTTGACATTTCTTTTTAGTTCCTCTTGATGTTTAGAACACAGTTTGTATCCACATGTAGTTATCTTATCTGATATGGTGCTGTTCAAATAATTTGCCTTTTTTTTTTTTTACATCTTTACCCTATAGCCAGCCCTACACGGTCTGCCGCCAATGCCCAGGATATGGTAGACCTAATGTGCAGCCCCCACCTTATCCTCCACCTCTTGAGACTGATGCATCGCGGTCTGCAGGGGATGCTCCATCTACCTCTGCTACTCTTCCTGCAGGTAAGTGTTTTACCAGTTCACCCCTCACAGCTGTTTACATCCACGAGAAACATTTACATTTCAGCTATACCCCTGTTGATTTGGCAACTTTGTCATTTTCTGTCTTTGATAGTGGAGTTCGAGGTATACATAACAGAGCCTTTGACAGCAGATCTTTCTTTAGTGACCATCGTTTAGCTTTCCACAGTGATAATTGTTCCATATAATTAGGGATGCACTGATACTTTTCAGATACCAGTGCCAATACTTGGCATTTTCATGAACTACCAGGGTTGCAGCTGGGACCTGGCTCTGGCGCTCCATCACTGTCCTGAAATCATTAGTCTGTATTGGTTTAGAAAAACTGTCACATGACAAGAAACAAAAATGTATCAGTACTTGTAAGTACTTGGGCAAGTATCAGTACTTGTACTTGTAAGTACTTGGGCAAGTATCGGTGCATCCCTTTTATTTATAAAAACAAAATCATACATTAAAACAGAGTACAAATCCCAGGAGCTCCGTGTCCGCCTTACAAATGACAGCTGCCTCATAATTTTTACATTTTTCTCTAGTCAAGTCTTGGAGCTTGAAAAGTATCTGTACTTGTACCGAGTACAGCACTTGGTATCGGTGCATCCCTACATATAATGTACCATAATGTAAAATATAGTTTGTTCTATCTGTAAGGTAGAATCACAGAGATAGGAATTATAAGAAAATCTCGCTAGAGAAAAAGGAACCTGTGCTTCCTCCTGGCAGCCACTACAACACTACTGAGTCCTATAGTGATATAGCTGCCCGAAAGGGAAACCACAGTGCACCTCAGGTGGAAAGACATTGTCAGATAACAGCGATATCTCTTAAAGAAAAGGAGCATTTTATTTAATACCCATTGAAAAGGAAAGTATTTGCCTTTTTTTTTAATGTATAATGGTTGCATCAAGATTTATTGAAGTAGATTAAGAATAGAGTAAAGGGTACCGTAAGCAGGCCAACATGGCAATAAAATGTGGAGAGGCATAAGTAGGCAACACAAAGAATAAAAACAAAAGAGGAAGTCACTCAATCCAATATACAGATATATTGGTTAACGCCTGGTAGAAGTAGGTATACGGACAAAGAAAATGCCATTTGAAGAAGGAAGAGATAGAAAGACGAGATCTAAACCAAAGAAAAATGTTAGAGAAAGATAAGAATAAAGTGGATGAAGATTACAGCAGTTCTGATGGTAAAAGAGTAGAATCGGGGTATGAAAATCATGAGGGGTTATCAAAGGTGAGTTAGTAACATGCATCGGGCACTGCATCAGATATGCGATAGGGAGGCAAAGAAAGAATATTGCATCCATAACGCCCAAATAGAATAGAAGCGATCATAAGATCCCGTATTTTTGGCCACAAGTTCTTCCATACGCATGTCCTTGACAATACTAATCCAATGCAAGAGAGGGGTCTCTGCAGCCTTTTAATAAAGTCGGATTAATTGTCGTGCTGCAGAGAGAAGAAATATTGAGTGTACTTTTGTTGGTGTTATCTATTTCCAGGAAGGATGGATAACAGGGCGGCCTCAGGGGAAGGTACTAATTTAGCATGATAAAGATCGTTAATCGTTCTAGATCTGATTAGATCCGGAAATTCAACTTTTTTTTTCAGGCTGCTTCAGGCTTAATTTTTTTCCCTAGCAACAGGAATGCTTTAAAAATCAAAACACGTCAAACTTCAAAGAAAAAAAAGTTATTTCATATCCCATTCAGGCCAGAAAAAAGTAATACCACTAAAAAGAAGCCTTTGTTTACTAAACCCCCCACCCCCGTATCAGAAGGAATATATTACACAGCGGGGTTCTATGAGCTTAGAAGTTGACGTGACACTGCCATGGTTGTGGCAACAAATAAAAAGATAGCAATATATAACTTGGTTGGTTGCCTTTTTAATATGCTGTATGTGCTGTCACATGAGGCCTGAGTATACAGTTGTCTATGGACCTCACTCCTCGGCATTCTCCTTGAGCCACTGTCACATATGAAATCACCATTGTACACAAATATTAACCTGTGGGTCATGGTACAGATTCTTCTCTTTTGGCTACCGAAAGAGGCTTTGACATTAGTGGTTGGCTAGACCCGTATGCTGTGCCATGTCCGATTGTGATTTTAGTTTGTGAAAGCTGTTTTGGAAATGTTGTCTACCACCTATATTATGTGTTTTTTATTTAATTTTTTTAGTGACACAGGAATATGTATGCTCTTCACAAGGAAGTCATGTGATCTGTACATGCTGTTTCCAGCCAATGCCAGATCGGAGGAGTGAGCGGGAACAGAGCCCTCATGTGCCTCCTCAGCAATGTAAGCTTTAACCTCTGAAATGAATTATATTATTAGTGTCTATGTTTCTTATATATTGGGCAGGAGTGTCTACATTAGTCTTTTTTTGGCTGCTACTGTTGCTATAGTATACCTTGAATCGTCTTGACACCAAAATGCACCAATATACACTATATTGCCAAAAGTATTGGGACACCTCTCCAAATCATTGAATTCAGGTGTTCCAGTCGCCTCCATGGCCACAGGTGTATAAAATCAAGCACCTAGGCATGCAGACGCTTCTACAAACATTTGTGAACAAATGGGTCGCTCTCAGGAGCTCAGTGAACTCAAGCGTGGTACCGTGATAGGTTGCCACCTGTCCAATAAGTCCATCCGTGAAATTTCCTTGCTACTAAATATCCCACGGTCAACTGTTGGTGGTATTATAACAAAGTGGAAGCAACTGGGAACAACAGCAACTCAGCCACGAAGTGGTAGGCCACGTAAAATGACAGAGCGGGGTCAGCGCATGCTGAAGCGCACAGTGCACAGAAGTCGCCAACTGTCTGCAGAGTCAATAGCTACAGACCTCCAATCTTCGTGTGGCCTTCAGATTGGCACAACAACAGTGCGTAGAGAGCTTCATGGAATTGTTTTCCATGGCCGAGCAGCTGCATCCAAGCCTTATATCACCGAGTGCAATACAAAGCATCAGATGCAGTGGTGCAAAGCACGCCGCCACTGGTCTCTAGAGAAGTGGAGACGTGTTCTCTGGAGTGACAAATCACACTTCTCTGTCTGGCAATCCGATGGGTTTGGCGGTTGCCAGGAGAACGGTACTTGCCTGACTGCATTGTGCCAAGTGTAAAGTTTACTGGAGGGTGGATTATGGTGTGGGGTTGTTTTTCAGGGGTTGGGCTCGGCCCCTTAGTTTCAGTGAAGGGAACTCTTAAGGCATCAGCATACCAAGACATTTTGGACAATTTCATGCTCCCAACTTTGTGGGAACAGTTTGGGGATGGCCCCTTCCTGTTCCAACATGACTGCACACCAGTGCACAAAGCAAGGTCCATAAAGACATGGATGAGAGAGTTTGGGGTGGAGGAACTTGACTGGGCCTGCACAACCCGATAGAACACCTTTGGGATGAATTAGAGCAGAGACTGCGAGCCAGGCCTTCTCGTCCAACATCAGTACCTGACCTCACAAATGCACTTCTGAAAGAATGGTCAAACATTCCCATAGACACACTCCTAAACCTTGTGGACGCCTTCCCAGAAGAGTTGAAGCTGTTCTAGCTGCAAAGGGTGGGCCAACTCAATATTGAACCCTACGGACTAAGACTGGGAGGCCATTAAAGTTCATGTGCGTGTAAAGGCAGGCGTCCCATTACTTTTGGCAATATAGTGTATTTGCTATACCATACCATAGGCCCGTCACATGCAGCCTGATTTCCATCTCTATCTTACTGTTTTGCTTTCACAGGTACTGTATGTTTGCAGTCTTTCTGTCACATGTACTGGGGATGTACCAGAATTGGCTGCTTTGGTTGTCTGGCTCCATTTTGTGGTAAGCTGCTTTTCCTTGTGTTTTTATTTATTTATTGATTGTTAACATCAATTGTAGGTAACTAGAATGGAAACACCAGGAAATGGCTAAATACATATGTTTACTGCTTTACCTGCTTAGGATTTGTAATTGTTTTGCCAGCCTTGTGATTTACTTACTGTTGCCACACTGGAAGGCCAGGCAGGTGACACTTATTTTCCTGGTTCAGTACTGTGGCCTTCTAGGTCACCTTTCTGCCTCCACCCTACTCATTGTAATAAATCATAATTGCTTTTGTCCAATAAGCAGGGAGCTAACCCTGAAAACTGTAAAACTGAGCTAGAATGCAGTAATGCAATAACCAAGAATATAAGTGATTTTCTGACTAGCAGAGTTCTGTTTATCACAAGAATGGCTACTAGAATTTTCTTTGGGTGTGTAAAATTAGTAAACATATTTATTTGAATTGTGCATTTAACTATCGACCTGGGGTTCCACTACAAATATATTTCTGCCCACTCCCATCATATAATGCATAGGACAAGCTTGACTACTCCAGTTTGTTAGTGTATATGTGAAGTGAACACTTGTTTTTCTTCACTTAAGTAAATCACATCTTGTTAACCTTTTTTTGTTTGTTTTTTTGTGGAGAAGGGTTCTTATTGCTGTGTGTGTCCTCACTGGGGATAATGTCCTCCACTTCTGGTCCTGCAAGGCCTTGCCATACCTTTACACTACAGAATACATATTCGCTTCCCTCATGTGAGGAGTTATTTTTCTAAATGTGGATTGAGGAGGATGAATTCTATTATGTATGATGACTCGTGTGTTGTTTAAAATGCACAAAACCCATACTGACTTCATTTCCTGCTACAGACCAAAAACATATGAAATCTCTTGTAGCTTTTCACTTTTGAGTACTAGAGAATTATTTTGTCTAATATATATTTTGGTTCACAACCTAAAGGGTTTAAAGCAACCAGGGTTTTTCCAGATATTGTTAGGGTTTACTTGAGCAATGGGAAATGTACAGGGCATACCCACCACTGACCACTAATATTAGGGGGACCTATCCCACTGATGACTGAAAGGGGACACCTCTCCTACTGATCACCTTAACCTCCTTGGCGGTAATCCCGAGTGTGGCTTGGAGTTAATTTTCAGTACCATAAGAGGTAACCCCGAGCCACACAGGATTACAGCGTAGCATTACTTACCATAGTCCCTTATCCGTCTTCTGTCCCTTGCGAGCGTCCGCGTCGCAGGGGGGGCGGAACCGGCGGGAATTGTAAAAGTAAAAAGAACGTAAAAAATAGAATAAAAGAAAGGAAAAATAAATGAATTAATCAGACTGCCAGGGAGGTTAAGGGTGCACCTATTCTACTGACCACCAATATAAAGGGGATTTCTCAACTGACCACCAATGTTAAGTGCACTCCATTACCGTTACTGTAAGGGGACATTTCTTCAATGACTGGGCATTTTTCCATGTGAAGGGCCACAACAATTTTACCTTTTGATTTCCTTTTCTTGCTATTATTATTTTTTTATTTTCATGATTTTTACTGAAAGTAAAGGTATTATATGCCTGACGGCCATATAACCTGGGCCCTGCCTGACGGCCATATAACCTGGGCCCTGCCTGACGGCCATGTAGCCTGGGCCCTGCCTGACGGCCATGTAGCCTGGGCCCTGCCTGTTGCTTCTGCTTTGACTAGGGGAAAATACAAGTTAAAAAAATACAAAATCAAGTATTGACTGTGATGTAATGCTGGACTATTACAACAGTTCAATGGTAGAAATCAGGAGTTATACAGATGCTTATTAGTGACTGATTTTCTTTGAGATTACATAAGTGTAGTAGAATTTGCATCCTTCAGTTTGATTTATTGTAGGAGTGAGGAAATCCATTAACACTTCTTCTTTTAGTAGAACTGCTTAAAATACAGTAGTAGTAATATAACAGACTTTTTAAAATGGTATAGTATTACTATGCAGACCCTAATGGTGCAAATTTAAAGCCCAACGAAACGATACAACAGTCTTCTTTACTTAGTGAAGATGTACAGTGGCGATTCTGTGCCGTGCACCTACCCCCTTTTTTCCTCTTTCTTTTCCATCTTTTTCTTCATCATCTTCTCTAATTTCCTATTCTCGGCAGGCATACTCTGCTTGTTCCCATTGCAGTATCATAATCTATTCCAGATCACACACAGCTAAACATTAAAAGCCTTTATGAAAGTATCTTTGCAATTTTCTTAGCAAAACGGATCCTTTTTGCTCTGTGTCTTTCAGGGTATAATAATCTTTTCAATGTTTTTGATTACAACATGCACTGCAAATGTTATGTTCTATCCTACCTATTTGTCTTCATTCATTAAAATGACAGTTAAATAAGAAAAAAAAAAATTGGTCATGCAAAAACTATTTTGGGGTTTTTATAGTTAATTTTTTTTACTCTGTTGAAGAGATTTCTTGTCATTTCCTGTGTGATCAACAGGACAGGAATTGAGGGCACAGACAGCAATAGAAAGCCCTATGTTTAGCAGGGGGGTGGATGGGTTATCACATGTGTCTGTTTTGGTGTCTGTGTTAGCTGCTCATACCACACTTCTCTAATCACGAAAGACAAATCACTGCTGTATATCCAAACTGCAAACTAAACCTTTTCACTCTATTTCAAAGGAAGAGAACATGTTTTGGCCAGATCTAGGTTTTACACCTATATGGTACCAATGTACAACTGCATTTTAACACTAGCTATATAGTTTGTGGTTTGAATAACGTTTTAGTTTGGTCATGTATTCATGTATGATAATAACACATAACGAGCACAAACAGCCTTTTTCTGCTCATGGAGACTTAACACATTTTCAGACATGAAGATTACCGTATATACTCGAGTATAAGCCGATTTTCAGCCCATTTTTTTTTCGTGAAAAGTGTGATCATTTAACCCATTCATGTTAGCAGAGGATCATTGTAAATGTATTGTTGCAGGCACTCTATATGTACATGTACTATATACTACATATAGAGTGCACTGAACAATAGATTTACAATTATCCTCTGCTAATATGAATGGGTTAAATGATCCGTAGTACATGATATGTAGCCCTGTACCCCCTTTTCCACTTACAGAGCTAGGTTATTTTTCTTTTAAATAAATATTAATGTAATTTTATTGGTATCTATCTACCAGTAGCTGCCTCATTTCCCACCCTCGGCTTATATTCGGGTCAATACTTTTTCCCAGTTTTTTTTTGGTAAAATTAGGTACCTCGGCTTATATTCGGGACGGCTTATACTCGAGTATATACGGTAATGCTTCTGTTTGCATAGCAGTGATAGCTGTCTGCTGACTTCTCTGTCTTTTACTATGGATGAGACTTACAGTTACCATGTCACGTGAATTGTATGTTAAAGTACACTGATTGTTTTGCTTTTATCCCACAGAGTTAAATCTTGGAGAAAAATGTTTAGACTCTGTTTTAAACAACAACAATTATGAATCTGATATTCTAAAAGTAAGTTGACAACAAAGTGTTCCCTTTTTTTTAGCTTTTTATATATGTTTGTATGTGATTCAGGTTTTATTAAATCTTAGGTGTTAATACTTATGTAAATAGGAATATTTTTTCTTTGCCTGTTCTAAGGTTTATTTCACGTAAAATTCCAATGTATTGATGTTTATAGGGCTTTTCAATGTTGAGCAGTTTTACAAATCTGCTGCATCTCACCAAGTACTGCCGTGTTTTTTTAATATTAAATGGTTTATCAATTACTTTGTGTTAGGATTGAAGGTACTACAAAAACCAATTGTGACACTGATCTTGTTTTAAACATACCTTGAAGCATGTATAATAACCAAACTTTAGCCCAGTGATGCATTCATTAAAATTCAGTAATGTAGAACTTATTAAGTAGATTGAAATACTGCAAGTGAAACTGTTTACAATTATTTGTTTTTCCACCATTCCCTGTGTAACAGCTCTGTTGCATTGCATAGTTCTGCCACTCTTAACATTTGGAGTGAGGCAGCCATCCCAATCATTCAGTGCCAGCAGGGGTGTGTGAATGACCAATGTTTTTGTGGATAAAACAGATCACATATACTGTATGGACTGTTTTGTACTGTAAGAAGCCGGTCTGTTTAACGCTGCTTCATGTGAACTTGTATAGAGCATCCAGGAAGCCTATTGAATGCATTGCAATGAGTATGATTCTTTGTATTTGACTGAAGTGAGTGTTATGCTTTCTCCTAATAAGGGGAAGCTTTGATCTCAGATCATGTAGAAGGCGCTCACTGAACCATCTGAACATAGCCATAACATAGCCTGAAAGTACACATAGCAAAGTCTACAGCTCAGTGAACACCATATCATCGCCTTATGGTTGTATTTTTGGACATGTAGATCTGTGTTTCACCTGCACTTTTATAGGCCTTTTCTGTTTGTCATTAAGTTGTATCCTCCATTATCCGTGTAACCTTTTCCTATTAAAGTTTGTACCGTTATCATTATTAAGGTATAATAGTTCAAAACATTATTCCATTTTCACTTTTTTGTATTCTTTTACAGAATTACCTGGCATCCAGGGGTTTAACGTGGAAAGACTTGTTACATGAAAGTCTAAGTGCAGTTCAGAGAGGAGTATTCATGCTTCCTGGTAAGTCTACTAAATAGGAATCTAACTGTTTACTCTATGTACAACTGAAACACATGGCCACAAGATGGGGCTACTGCTTTAATATCCATTTCCAGAGGCTTCAAAACTGCTACATACCATACAAGAGATATTTGGGTGTAAGCTTGGGCTTGTCAGTTATGAGTTGCTTATTGTTTTTAGTATCAACTTGAGCATGTTTTATAAGACTCGGTTTGACCTTTTTAAACACTATTTTAATATATCTGTATGAACTGTTAGAAATTATTTTTATTAAAATAAAAAAAACTGTCAGAGCAGAAACGGGGTCTGTCTCTCCTGACTTGTTTTTAAGGATGTACGTAGCCACTGCAGCTGTTATCATCATCCTTGCTGCGCTAATAAATTCATATTGATCACTGGATGCCTATTCCATGTCAAAGGCTTGCCAAGTCATAATTCTGCATGTTCTTCCACAAAGAGGGAGAGGATGGGAGAGCCCCTATGGTGTAGTATTCAAGTAGTTAATTAGGTTTTGCAGAAAAGAGAAATTGGGGAGTAGTGAGGTCTTGTTTTAGTTTTGTAGATGTTGCCAGAACTGGTTTGAGTGACTGCAACCTAAGATGGTAGTTGTCAATATTATATGCGTCTTCACACAGACCTTTTTGGTTCGCTATTTGGTTTACACTCGATGATTGTGGAGGTCCAGGACCCAGGTGTCCTTAGAAGAGGTCCAGGGCTGGCAGGTTACTGGAAGTGAAGTTCTAGGTTTCCAGCAGGGATATAATGCAGGGACGCCTGAACGGAACAGATTCTAAACAATTGTTTAAGCACAGACTCCGTGTCATGAAAGTGTCATAAAGCATCAGCTTTGTTGCAAGTAAAAATGGTTAATGGCAATGCGTTTCCTGGTGGACAAATGGCTACTTTTTCAGACACGGTGTATCACAACTTCAAAAACATAAATACATAAAATGTATGTATACATTGTCTTTAATGCCACATTCACACTAGTAAACCTAGTGCATAATGTATTGCTGGGATTTGTAGTCCTCTATACCGTCAGCTATACCGTCAGGCTTACCTGAGCAGTCTTCCAGCAACTTGCTTCTGAGATCAGCGCCTGTCTGACGGCGGCTGTCATCCCCTCATGCCTGCTCCTCCTTACTTCTCCCCGCGTCCCTGTGCCGATCGTGGATGTGGGCGGTGCGCGTAAGGCGGGGAGGAGGTGTGGCGTGTGGATGCAGGCGGGTCTGGCAGCAGCAAGCGTGAGGCGGGGAGGAGGGGTGGCGTGTGGATGCAGGCGGGTCTGGCAGCAGCAAGCGTGAGGCGGGGAGGAGGGGTGGCGTGTGGATGCAGGCGGGTCTGGCAGCAGCAAGCGTGAGGCGGGGAGGAGGGGTGGCGTGTGGATGCAGGCGGGTCTGGCAGCAGCAAGCGTGAGGCGGGGAGGAGGGGTGGCGTGTGGATGCAGGCGGGTCTGGCAGCAGCAAGCGTGAGGCGGGGAGGAGGGGTGGCGTGTGGATGCAGGCGGGTCTGGCAGCAGCAAGCGTGAGGCGGGGAGGAGGGGTGGCGTGTGGATGCAGGCGGGTCTGGCAGCAGCAAGCGTGAGGCGGGGAGGAGGGGTGGCGTGTGGATGCAGGCGGGTCTGGCAGCAGCAAGCGTGAGGCGGGGAGGAGGTGCGGCATGGGGATGTGGGTGGGCAGGTCTGGCAGTGGCAAGCGGGGAGGAGGGGCGGCACGCAGCGTGTGTGAAGCCGTGGACAGGGCTTGTTGACAACTTTTTCAATCATCGATTAGAATCGACTTTAAAGTTTGTTTTATGTTCCCGGGGATAAAATGTCTCCGGGTTTTGTTTTAAAAATGTTGTCACCTTACCTTGGCCTGGTGGTCAGTGGGGGGCTCCCCGGCCGGCCCGCATCCGATGCGGCTCTGTGATCGGCGGCCGCTCGGTCCTCAAGGGGGTACTCCGAGGGCCCCAGCCGGCTGCCCTCTACAGCGCCTGATTACAGGGCCGCGTCTGCCTGATCCGGGCTGGCTATACCAGGTAGACGCGGCATGTTAGAGGGCCCCCTGCTGGGGCCTCCCGAGCACCTCCTTGAGGAGCAGCAGCTGCACAGATCACAGAGCCGCGTCGGATGCAGCGGCCGGGGTCAAGGGACTGTTCGCGGTGGCATCAGAGAGGCCGGGGGGCAATTGCCACCCTGCCCCCTGGCCCAGTCCGCCCCTGCTCACCACTGACCATGGCAGCTTTCATCTGCTTCTGAGTCTAGTGAGGTCATTTTACAACAGTAAAGAGGGGAACTAGCAGAATTACCAGGTATTTGCTACTAAATGAACCTGTAGCATAATGTAAAAGTTTATTATTAAATGAATGCATAACTTAAATATTCATTTTAGGGTTGAATTAGGCTTTAAGGGTTAAAGCCCAGCTCCAGTCAAAAATGTTTTTGTTCCTTTTAGTTCAATTAGGAAAGCTTTAGAGCCCCTGTCAGCTTCTGTTTGCAGTCTGAGTATACAGGAGCCTCAATATCTGCTCTGTTCAGGCATCTCTACATTTGATCCCAATTGGAGACCTACAAATCCACCTCCTGTTAAGTAAGGATGGAAATTATAGCTCTGAAGGCTTCATAAATGATACATTTGCTAATTTAAACTTGTAAACTGCTAATCTAAGGGAGAACAAAAAAGCAACTAATATTCAGGGGACAGCTCAAATCTAGCTCTAAAATCTGATTCTGCACTCAAATTAAGGGGGACATACACCAGCAGATATTGTACAGAGCCCTGAGAGATCTAGTCTTGGCCTGTTCTCCAAACAGTCATTGCGTTCCGATATAACCAACTATCCTCTGAGATTAAAGGAAGATTCTGTTTTGTTTTTTTGTGTGACCCTGCTACATATTTATGCATTCCAGGGATCACTACAATGGCCCACCCAATAGTTAATGTTGCAAATAAATGCTTGAGCAGCAATTTTCCTGAATATGTTTCTGAAATGGAAAGGTTTGTCACTTGTATTCTGCAAATGTTTTGTAAGTAATACTCAAATTTGTGTTGTATTGATTGAAAATGTGGCTAATGTATGATCAACATTTGTGTGGTGATCAGCATCTACTATAGTTTTGCCCTTTTTATATTGACACAGTTTGACTTGACTCGTTTAACAACTAACATAACATGTTTCTGCTCTTCTTTTAAATGCTTGTACACACAGATTACCGGATTAATGGATCTACTGTTCTCTGCTACTTCTGTGGACTACGTAACTTTAGAGATTTAACCTACCAGTACAGGCAAAACATACCACCCGCTGAGCTTCCAGGTAGCTGTGCCGCAGTGATATTATATACTACTGCTATATAGGAAATCTCTAGATATAGAAATACAGGTGATAGATCTGCATGCGCCTTTAAGATTAGTGATCAATGCCTCCTATTTTTTTCAATATAGGTTTCCTTTAAAATATACCCATTCCTGAGATTAACATACACTGCCTTTGCTGACTTCTTTTATTTATTTATTTTGCAAATGCTGGTTGCCTGGCTGTAATGCTGTCTAGCTTTCACAGCTTTCATTCACTAACCCAAACAAGTATGCAAAAAAGGACTTTTGACTTCACTGATCTGCACACTTCATTTTTTCAAGGTCAGTGGCTCAGAAAGTATTCAAGGTCATCATAATAGCCAGGCAACTAACATTTTCAGAGGGACATTGACATTGGCAGCAGTGCCCAAGAGGAGCGAGAAGACTCTGCCTATATGTGAAAGGGGCTATGCAAGAAAAGTATCAATTTATTCAGTTTAGAGAATTTCACTGAATAGTTAAAAAGTAAACTACATTGGTTACACACGAACCAGTACAATTTAATATATTAAGGCAAAACATAGTAATAATTATGTGCACATATTATTAAGGAAAAAATGTGCATTTATTGATTTTTTTTTTTTTTGCATTGTAGCCTGCAAAGCATTGCATCTGCAATCAGTGGTTGGCGGGTGCGATGCCCTGGCTCCTGCAGACTCTACCTCCCAGCCCCTGTCTGTGCTGAGGTACAGTCTTTCAGTTCCAGGGACAGGAGGAAGTGTCAATGGAGTACAAGTGAAGGGACTTTTTAGCACCAACCTGACCACTTAAATTTATATTAAAAGACATTTTATTATCTCATAAAATCACTGGGACAATTATTAAAATCATCAAAGTATTTAGTATGCTCCAGATATATACACCTATGCCTCACAAAAATACATCCCCTCAGTATATTATATATTATACCCTTATATCAGTATAAAGATCATGCAAATTTTATTTTGAATACATTATAGTAGATGTTGAACAGATTTTAAACAAAGGCGTGCATATAACTTTCTCTACGTGTTTCGCAGTCACCGCCACTTCTTCAGAACTTGAAGCATATATGGGCATACAATCATGTCTCAATGGTTAGCATAACTATCTCAACGCGTAGGCAGGGGATCAATGCATCAAAATGGATGGGCGGGCATCCAGGCACAATTAGCACAGCCTCCCCAATCTGGGTTGCGTATTGTTGCAATCTTGGGATAACAAAATAGACCAAAGACTCCTAGGTAAACCTTGCCCCTCCACGCACAACCACACCCAGCAATCCCTCATGGGAAGCCTCAGTATTGATCATTTAGGTATCCACGCCTGATGTCAGTGGCACGATCTGCGTCTCTCGTTATCTCCGAGTGTTTCCTCATTTGTAGCGAAGTCACCTTACATTTACCCCATTGACAACTGCGAATCCCTTTTCTACGGTGGTGAACAGGACTTCCAATCACAGATCCTGTCAAAGGATTTGTGAATGAATGACACGGCTGTGTAGGTGCGGCCAATTTAAAAAATTTACAGAATCCCAAAAAAGAACCCTGGGATTCTGGTTTGTGAGGGGGCCCCCTTTGGGGGATGTGGGGCTGGGGTTGTGACCATGTTACACCTTGAATATAGGTGTAAAATGAAACGTGGTAAGAAAGATGGAGTTGGTCTTAGAACTAATCTTAAAACCCGACTTTAAAGGGTAAGAAACCAGTTTTGGGGTTATCGGCGATTAACCTTCTTGTCTAAGCATTGATTTTTAAAGTTAGGTTAGGGGTTAAGTTACATTATTAGGAGTTGAAGTGATCATTTTAAGGGTTACATTTAGGAGTTTAATGTTTTAGGGCAGCATAAGGTTTCGGTTACAGTTCTAGATCAAGGCGTGTGGGGAATACTTTATTTTGGCACCAGGAGTCCAGCACAGTTGTTAAAAAAACAAACATACTGAACTGCTGCATGTAGGATTTTTGGAGCGCAACAAAGAAGTCCCTTCAGCACACACGCTGACGTATGAACTGCACTAATCCCTGGCAGAAATGTATATACACTTGCATGAGAGGTATAATGTTGAGGAATATACACTCGATGGCCACTTTATTAGGTACACCTTGCTAGTACCAGGTTTTAGTATCCCTTTTGGGATGGACTGAAAGTGTGCCAAGAAAATATCACCCAGACCATTACGCCACTACCAGCCTGAACTGTTGATACAATCCAGGGATGGCTCCATGCTTTCATGCTGTTTATGCCAAATTCTGACCCGATCATTTGAATGTAGCAGCAGAAATCAAGACTCATCAGACCAGGCAACGTTTTTCCAATCTTCTATTGTACAATTTTGATGAGCTCTTGCAAATTGTAGCCTCAGTTTCCTGTTCTTAGCTCATAGAAGTGGCACCCGGTGTGGTCTTCTGCTGCTGTAGTCCATCTGCTTCAAGGTTCGATGTGTTGTGCATTCGGAGATCCTATTTTTCATACCTTGGTTGTAACAAGTGGTTATTTGAGTTGCTGTTGCTTTTGTATCAACGTGAATCAGTCTGGCCATTCTCTGACCATTGCTTCAGCAAGGCATTTTCACCTAGAGAACTGACACTCTCTGGATATTTTTCTCTTTTTTTCTGACCATTCTCTGTAAACCCGAGAGATGGTTGTGCATGAAAATCCCAGTAGATCAGCAGTTTCTAAAATACTCAGACCAGCCCGTATGGCACCAACAATCATGCCATGTTCAAAGTCCCTTTTCTTCCCCATTCTGCTGTTCAGTTTGAACTTCAGCAGATCGTCTGACCATGTCTAGATGCCTAAATGCAGTGCGTTGCTGCCATGTGATTGGCTGATTAGATATTTGTGTTAATGAGTAGTCGAACAGGTGTACCTAATAAAGTGGCAGTGAGTGTGAATGATACCTGACATTTGTTCTTTCATGGTCACAATTGTCACATTTGCGTAACTGAGGTTTTTTTCTTTGAATGTAATTGGCTTTTTTTTCTTTGCAGTGGCAGTAACATCACGTCCAAATTGCTACTGGGGACGAAACTGCAGAACTCAGGTGAAAGCACACCATGCCATGTGAGTATTTTAGTATGCTGTAACCAATTATGTTGCTGTGTTAGTATTTCAGTATGGCCATAAGGGCAAAATGTAATTTAAATGACTCTAACTGCCTCTAAGTTCATTAGTGTGCATAACTCGTTAGTGACCACAGAACTGAATTGTATCACTATTTCCTATGAGCTTTTCATACAGTCTATACACTGCACTCACTTGCACCATGCAGAATATTTCAAGGACAGTGCTGTTCCCATTTTGGTGGTGCACCACCTCTAGCATGCATAAGCTTGCAGAATATTGGAGGTGCTTAGAATGTGATATCACCAAAGTATTTTTTGTGATGTTTTGGGAGAGAGCACCTGACACATAGACTCTGTCACAAATCATATTTGAACTCCTGAGGATTTTCTGGATTACTTAATGAGCAACTGAAAACTGTAATCTGATTTTCATACCTAAGCAAATCATTGTGCAAGATATGTTGAGCATCATATCCCTTCCCTTGGCATGTTGTCGGTTCTCCTGAAATCCAAATCTTCAATG